ATATAACATAATTACATAATATAATTATAATTATATAATCTAATAAATAAATATATAATCTAATCTATAATTCTGAAAAAGCTGACTGATGTTTCTGAAATCATCAAGACTAAATAATTAATGGCGTATATAATTGAATTTGTTACAATTACGTTGTTGTAATTGTGGTAATGGTTGTCATAGAATGTTTGGTATAGGTATGAAGAATGTTTGTGTGGAAGAATGTATGTGTGTGACGAGTATGACAGAGAGTAGTGAAACACAATTAGTGGGTGAATGACAGTCATCAGAGATGGACGTTGCGTGTGAAAGAGTCCTGAATAGATTATATCGCATGAGAAGCGAATTTATTTTACGTGATTTAACTATAATTTATGTTGTATTGTTATACCGTTCAATAAATATTGTTATCAGTTTATCCATTTACTCACAGTAATTATTATTATAATTATAATAACGTTTGACTGCTGGAATCTTTGCATTACTCAAAATACACAGGGTATCCCAGAAATAGTAGTACAACAAAGTGGATGATTTTATATGAAAAAACAAATGGAAAATAAAGAATAAAACTTTTTCATTCGAAGCTTCAAGAAAATCGATTTCGAATTTCCACCGAGTACGCTGGTATACTCATAGTTCATCCATCTCATTCAAAGTTAACGCGTATTCGGTGAATATTCAAAGTTGATTTTCTCGACAACGAAACTACGAATGGAAAAATTTTATTCTTCGGTTTCGATTTGTCTTTTCATTTGAATTTACCCCCTTCTCAGATGTACTACCGTTGCTGAGATACTCTGTATAACTACAGTCACCAAATGTAGAATATTTATATAATAATAAAGGTGAGAATACTCCCATACAAGGTCGGATACTTGCTCTGTGTTACAGGTGACTATAGCTACCCAATGTCAAATGGAGTAGAAGTGATTATAATTACACAACGTCAAGTTTATGCTTCGTGGTACAGGTAATTATAGTCATCTAACGTCGAACGATTGCCCTGTGTTAAAAGTGGCTATAGTTATCGAATATGAAACGATTAATTTATGGCAAAGATGATTATAATTACACGACGTCGAATTTTTGCTTTATAGTACAGACAACTATAGTCATCTAACGTCGAACGCTTGCTCTATGTTAGAGGTGCATATAGTCACAGAATGTGAAACGATTAATTTATGGCAAAGGTGATTATAATTACCCAATGTCGAATTTTTGCTTCATGGTACGGATAACTATAGTCATCTAACGTCTAAGGCTTGCCCTGTGTTAAAAGTGGTTATAGTCACCGAATGTGAAACGATCAATTTATGGCAAAAGTGATTATAATTACACAACGTCGAACTTTTGCTTTATAGTATAGATAACTATAGTTATCTAACGTCGAACGCTTGCTCTATGTTAGAGGTGCATATAGTCACAGAATGTGAAATGATTAATTTATGGCAAAGGTGATTATAATTACCCAATGTCGAATTTTTGCTTCATGGTACAGATAACTATAGTCATCTAACGTTTAAGGCTTGCCCTGTGTTAAAAGTGACTATAGTCACCGAATGTGAAACGATTAATTTATGGCAAAGGTGATTATAATTACACAATGTCAAATTTTTGTTTCGTTGTACAGGTAGCTATAGTCATCTAACGTTGAACACTTGTCCTAGGTTAGAGATGCATATAGTTACCCAATGTTAAACGATCAATTTATGGTAGAGGTGATTATAATTACCCAACGTCGGATTTTTGCTTCATGGAGAGATAAGTATAGTCATTCAACGTCCAATCCTTGCTCTAAGTTAGAGGTGGCTACAGTGGCCCAATGTCAAACGTTTACTCCATGGTGTAGGTAATTATAGTCTTTCAATGTCGAGTATGTGTTCTGTCCTGAAGGTAATTCCAGTTATCCATCAAAATTTGCTATACTTTTAATTAGGGTTATTCTATGTTTTCATTTCACTGTCTGTTTCTTTTACTCGCTATTTTAATTACGCTGACTCGTGTTTGTTCACAATTCATGATAACGCTAAATTAATATCAAATAGCTCGAATGAAAGTACAATATCGCTACACTCTATTTATGGCAAAGTGTAAAATAGTAGTTTAATCGTGTTACATAGCAGCAGTATATTGGCGACCAAGTCAGCCTCAGTATAGCGATTAATAAAGTCAGTATGAAGGTTGAAAAATAATGGAATAATAAATACAGGGATACAAAGTAATACCTAAATTAGGGTCTGTTAACTGGATTGTAATTCACTCGACATTAATTGAAATATATTACCGTCTTTTTATTATATCACACCGCTATGAATGAAACAAAAGAACGATAAATAATGTTTCTAAATGTCCAATTGATTATTTGTTAATTATTTATCTCTATATTCTTAATCAAATTTTCTATTATATGGTTAAAAAGAAATTACTAAAATTTCCTTAAAAACAATAAATCATCTGATACAATAATCTAAAATATGGAAAATATTTTTAATTTTTATCAAAATTTTTACAAAATTTAGTATAATTGCAATTATGTATTAAAATCGGTTTATACTGACATTATAAATAAATTACATTAATTTAGGATAATATTATTATTTGCAAAGAAAAACAAATGAAAGTAAAGTTTTAAGATTTCAGGAGACGTAAAATGAGTTAATCGAAATTTTTCTAGGTTAAGACTGTACAAAATTTAAAGATGACTTCCGATTTTTCAAATTTAAATGTTTCTTCACCATAACACGATTATGGTACATTTTTTTTCTTTTACATTCAATTATCTCGCGTCTTAACCTTTTGCACTCGAAAATCTTTTTCGTGGTAAACAACAGCAACTCGAAGCTTTTCTTATATTTTTATAAACTTGCCCACAGAGAAATGAATGAATGAAAATATTTCATTCCAATATTTCACGTATAGTTAGGTCATAGAATTAAAACAAATGACGACCGAGAGTCGTATCTCGAGTGCAAAGGGTTAATAGTCGTATTGTAAAAACTGTTTACTAGAAAAATAAAATTATAAAAGGCACAAACCATCTTTTTAATTTTTATATTTATATTTCTTTAGTATTAAAAATAGGATTTTGTCCTTTTAATTATTTAACAATTAAAAGATATGAAAATATATCTTGAAAAAGAATTTTTTAATATCAACTATTGCCTTTGTTCACCAAAAGCTCGAATCATAATAACTAATATGAATTATCATCACGGAATATAGTAAAATATTATTTAATATAACATAATGTAAGACATATGTATATTATAGTCTTTGGATTGCAACTTGTTTGTAAATAAAAATAAAAATAGCAAAAGAGCAAGAGTGTCTTCTTACAATTTTATTTTGCCGACATACAATTGCCAGAGGTTGTACATAAAATCTAAGACAATAGCATTTACTTAAAGCAAATGTACCAAAATTTTGTTATTAAAATATATATATATATATTCTCATCTAAAAGATCAAACACAATTAAATTCTCAAATTTAATTAAATTCGCTTTAAAAAATTTCTGTTTGCTTCAAATCGTCGAACCATTATTTTCTATTTTTCTATAAACAATAATACTGTCGTACATGGAAATAATAATACGAGACCAGTATGACAGCATCGTATAATCCATAAATATTTTGCAAATTTATCAGCTTGCGAAATTTCCAACTGTCATATTGTCGAAGTAAAATCAACGTAAAAATGATTTATTTGCTTTACTCGTATGCAAGCTTCCTCGTGCTTTGCAGAGGAAAGTAAATGGTGCATTCTTTGGGGAGAAATGGTTGTCGGCGAAGTAAGGAAAAATAGAAAATTGCTTTGGAAACGGCATGCTCGCCGTTGGAAGCGATTTAAAGCGGACGAGTTTAACCATGCAGAAGAACTGCGGTACCAGAAGTGCTGAAGTTCCACTCTCAAACATACTTGTGTGTATTATCCCGAACAATAGGTGTACTCGTCCGTTCAGACAGCAACGTAATGGTATATAAAGATCAATTTGGAGGATTTCGTCTTACCTTGAAATCGATGTAGCCATTTTTGTCCATATCGAATGTACGGAAGACGTGATCGCAGAATTCTTCTGCATTGCCAGACGGGAAGAACATTTTGTACATGTCGACAAATTTTGCTGGCGTTAATCTACCATTTGGACAATCTTGCTGTAACAGAAAGAAGACCATGTCACCGTGAAATCTCATTTCGCGACATATTTTTCGTGCAATTTATTTTTCTATATACACTACTGCCATTATTATATATTATCACTGATACAATGATATAATATAAGTAATATTGTACAACGATATATTGTTATTATTGTGAGTCATTCACAGATAGGAGTAATTAACTCCACTTTTTGCAATTTCCAAAAATTTTCGAACCAAAATCCTTGATCAATGTTTAACGTTCTATGGATAAAATAAATTTCTACTTTTCGACTTTTGGACTTTATTAATTTGGAAAATGTGTCACTCGTATATTATTTACATTTAATTGTGTTAGTAATATACAAATTGCTCATGAGTTGCGCATATACATGTATATACAGGGTGTTTGTTTTATTTAAACTCAGGGTAATATCTCGGAAACGACTAAAGATGGAAAAAAAGAAAATTAATCAAAAATTTTTGTCGTAATATTTGTTTTGGCCAGAGTTTTTGAGTCTAGATAAAACAGACACCCTATACATACAGGGTATCACAAGTTGACAGAGAAAAAATCTTCACTGACAAGTGATTTAAAACAAATAAAATTACGTATATCTTCTAGTATTTTAGTTCATCTTTTAGTATTTAGTATTTTTGCATTTTATAGTTAAAAGTACTAAAAAAACAGATTATTTTCATCATAATAGATGACTATAGAATTTTTTATCGTGTCAACGTGAATGAGACACCCTGTATTAGAACAGTAATCACGATCGTGGTCTCAAAAATAGAAATATGTAGTATGTACAACATATTGTAATATTATGCATATAATATATATAAATATATATAATAAATAAATACATATATCATACAATAACAATAATTATTAAAAATACTATTATTATTCTTTATCACAAAGACTACCAATGTTACTGGCGTAAATAAATAAATTAATTATATTCCATTCTAAATAAAAGACAGTTATTATACGTCCCTAGATAGTGAATTAAATTTCTTAAGTTAACTTGAATCTGCAGTTTTTAATTTTTCTATTGCTTCCATTATTTCATAGAAATGTTTTCTACACGATTTCATAATATTCTTCAATGTCAAATTGATGCTTGACATGTAGGAGGGGACTAATCTCATCTCGAAGCCTTTTCTGTCTATAAATATTCTTTCTTTGTAAAATAAACGAAGAAGAAAGGTGCAAGAAAAGTTACTTCATCGTTAATTTAAGCCATTAATGTAATTTAAGCAACCATAACAAAATTAAAATAATAAATTACTGTCAATGTTGAGAAATCAAATGTTCCGCCATAATTTTACATTAGTTACTTGATCGGTATCAATAGGTGGCACCACGTGTACGTACGTAAAGTGTTTGTTTCAGTTCTCGCATCTGGTATTTGCTTGTTTCGGGTGTGTGCAATTTCTCAGTAACCACAGGCTTATTTCTTTTCTTGTTTGCCATTTTCTTTTATAGTCCTAACTCATATAAATATTAATACTGTTTTATTATAACGCTTATGTATCTCACTACGTAAATTAAATAAAAACATTCATTTCGCAACAGTTAGTCAAATTTCAATCGTAGAATTCTTTTATGTTCATAATTAAATCTTATGATATATGTTAATCTGCATTTCGACAAATTCATAGTAACGTATTATAATACATTTTGGCTGGATCGGATAATTTTATCTTCTCGATATCAGTGCTCATAGACATGAGGGGTGAAATGAGCTTCTTCGACGAGTGATCATTAATTATGCATATAGTAATTTCATTTCTCTGTCATATAATGTGCGGAACTAATATTTCTCTCGAACTCGGTAACATGCGGTTTTTTAAATCGATTTATTAAAATTATTAACGATAACTTCTATCGAATTTGACCTTATGAAAATTTCTTAATATCGTAATTAAATGTCGATACCTGAAAAATTACCCGATATTAATCATATTATAACTAGTAATAATACTAATAGATCTGAGATAATTTTTTCTTTTTTTAATTTGTTATGAAAACATTTTGGTATCAAATTTAATTTTTAAATATTTATCGTTAGACGACACCCTAATTTTTTAAATTTATGACGATATTAAAATTATGATAATATTATAATGAAAATTATTCTATATTTTGATATTCGTTTATTGCCCATTAAATGCTTTTTATTTTCGAATAACCTTACAGTTAGTGATGCATTATACATATATATAGTATAGTTAGAAATCGTAATGTTTTAATAATTCAAGAAATCAAATGAAGGAATTTTATTGTTCTTCGAATTATGTACTAATTACATTTTCGATTATTTTTTGCTGCGTCATATAAATGGTTTTATTAATATCAATGTTATGGTTGTTCGTGTGTAGGGATGTCAAATAATTAAATTTCTTTTATAACCGGTTTTTCGATTATTTTTTCACTTCATAATTGATTATCCAGTTAACCAACGTATTTTTGATTTCTAGAAAATAGGGCGACCAAATTTCTCCGCCTTCATTAATTGCAATACTATGAAAATAATATAAACAGAGCAATATATAAAAATAAGTAATAATAACTCTTAATAAATTATTTCTATTTATTTACGAATAATTATAATAATTAAATACAATACCAAAATAATATTATTATGCATACAGTAGATAACACAATGGTTAAAAATTTATTTATTTTACAAAATTTAATTTCTTCGTATGTCGTATTGAAAAAATAATTGATAGGTTATTAAATGTCAATAACCGTTTATCGAGTAATAATAAATCTGGTGAAATAACCAATTAACTGGCTTCGAATATATTATATACTTTGACATCCCTACTCGTGTGTTTATTTTTTATGTAATTAATGTGATATGCATGATACTCGGATTAAAAATGTCTCCTAGTAAATTTTAATTCTTAATAGATCTTTTTCTGCCTTTGTTTTATCTAAAATTCTTAAAAGGAGTAGTGGAGTAATCTCTTGAAACTTTTAGTTATTTTTCATAATAAATACACTTTATATCCTTAGCTAACGAATAAATTAAAATTTCTTTTGAATTTCATAATTTTCTTTTTTTTAGACTATCTTCATATACAATATATATTTCAGCTATTCTTTTATTGCTGTTCTTTGTTATACGTTTTCTAGACAATTATGTTCCTTTTTTCTTTTTAATAAGCTTAAGAACATCTGTACTATATTTTGTACGCTAAATTTCTTTTGAGACTATCTTGGTAATACGATATAACTCTTGTTTAAATTGTTCTTTTCTATTTCTTCTCCAGGCATTTTTTGCTTCGTTGTATAATAAGCTTAAGAATATCCGTGGATACTGTTACATTTTTTATTATTTTTTTCCTTCCTAATATCGTACTTGGCATTATAACTCGAATTGTGCCAGTGAAATAATTTGTTGGTTCTGTAATACTTACTTGTGTAGAGCGTTTTTAATGGTACACTATAATGTATAGTGTATAGGTCACCGATATCTTTCTTGAATTTTATGGTGATTTGATCAGTAAGATAAATAGCGAAGCATAGCAGATTTGAAATCTAACTATATACGTTATATTTATACACTATAATTATTATTGTTATTATTATTATGCATTATATATGTGGTATATTATAATATGTTATAAATTAATTTTTCTTTTGTTCATGTGTTCCTCGCTGGTGATAAAGTCAACAATATCTGGTATAATTTTCTAAATTAATGGAGAGTGTGTCGGTTCGTTATTTAATACAGTATGAATAGCAATATATTTATAACGCTTTAATACTTCACAATCGATACATCAGTTTTGTAGGTTTTTGAAAAATACCTTGAGCTGCTATATTGGCTTTTCATCTTTAATATAATTTAAATACGTGCAATAACATTTTATTTATTGAATATAATTTTTTTTCTTCTTTTTGCGCAAAATTACATACATTTCAGAATAAAAATAAAATAAAAAAAAGAAATGAAAATATCATTATTTTTTAGAGAAATATGTTAATTTTAATAGATACTATAAAAATTGCAAATTTTCCACGGTAGTTTATCGTCATATCCCAAAAAGTTTTAAGGTACTTATAAGTGTTAATATTCTATGCAACAGAATACGAAATATGGGAATAGAATATATTAATTTCTAAATTTTCTAAATAATATATTATTTTCTAAATTTTATTCTTTAATTTAACAGGTACACACATCGAACATATTTATATTTGTAATATTTCTCGAAATAATAATAATGATTATTTCCTTTCATTTGCAATAGTAATAATTTTGGTCATAATATAATCATTCTGTTATGTATGTTACCTTCAGCATGATTTATTCCATACAATTTATATGTTAATTAAATATAATTTTTATCAATTAAGTATCATTTGATAGTAATATTATATTACTAACATGTTTATTCGGTACCCGCAAAGAAACAATTTTACCTTCTACTTTGGTGTATAAACATTTCAACTCTCAGCTATAATTTTTAGAAGCACTTTTATTCCTTTGATAAAATTTTCATCGGTAATTGAAAGAGAATATTTACAGCGGCCAGAAAAGGTATTGGCAGAAAAAAATTCTAACCCGAAAATTTTTATTTTAATGAACGTTTGTGTGCATAATAATGAGTTATAGATAGAGAAATTTTTTCTTTCTGAAGGGATAAAAGAGGAACCCCAAAAGTTTCAACACATTTTTGTATTTTGAATACAATTTTGTTTGAGAATTTTGTTCACGATACTGTGATAGGCACTAAGAATTAAATTTTGCTTTTGTATGAAAAGTATCGCTGTACCTTACATTATTACAAAATTATAATTTTGAAAACGTAATTTGATCGTTGGTTTCATCTTTGTAAATTTCGTATTCCGTAAAAAAAATTATTATATGTATATATATATATAATTTTTTATATTCCACATACTCAAGACTCACCAATCAACTGTTAAATTTAAAAATGAGGTTTCCTAAATGTTAATAATCGATCTTGATGAAATTTACAAAAGATACAAT